AGGAAAAACATATATCCCTGTCAACAGCTTTACTCTTGGGCAGGGCCAGCCACCTTTAAAATATATTGTTGGGGGCTGATGCACGGCGTCGCCTGGCAACGCCGTGCCCCAGCTAGCTACCTTGCTAGCATGTAGCCAGGCAGCTAGCTAGCTAGCTAGCTAGCTGGTTTGCCAGCTAGCCTGCTAGCTGGCATACTAGTTGGCTCTCTACACCCACGCAGTCCACACACGCCATGGGTTTCACGGCTAGCTAACTAGCTAGCCAACTAACCACTTCGTTCACTATGCCGAAGATGCGTTTAGGGGTTCTAGGAAGCAACTGAAGCATGCAGTTGGCTGGGGTGTCTGCAACACCTGTCTGATATTGCTATTGCTGCTGTTGTTGTTGCTAGCGCTTCTATTTGCACATCCACAATCACTCTACAACAATACAACGCCTGTGCCTAGTTGCAGCAGACTGCCTATGCTAGACCTGCCTGGCTACGGCAACAGCAGCTGCTGCTGCGTACAAGCAGCACCTGCTGGCGCTGCAGCAGCCCCAGAAGCAGCAGCAGCAGCTGCAGCACCTCAAGGCCTGGGATAGGTGAGGGTGCCACTGAAGAGAAGAGGGTGAGGGTTTGTTTGTTGCTGTTTAGAAGATGCGCTTCCAGTGTCTTTTCTTGGCGTGGTAGTTGCCCCACTCTTTGCCTGTAATCGGCACTTTATGAACATATCCTTCAATTAAGCGCTCCATACGCGGGAGGCCCCACTGCCATTGCTGCAGCCTCTGCTGTAGAGGCCTCTGCAGCAGAGGCTCTGAGCTGTACGTACACCCCAACAGGCTCACCTCCCCACAACCATCCACAGAACCCAAAAGAGCAGAACGGAAGTACCTGCCTGGGGGGGCCCCGGGGGCCCCCAGCGACTCCGGGGCCCCAAACGCCTCTGCTGTTGCAACTGGCCTCGCGAAGTAAATGCTGCTGCTGCTGCTGCTGAACAGTAGCGCACCGTCTTCTGCTGCTACTGCAGTGACACCTGGCAACAACCGGCCAACAGGTATACCCTCCTCCTGTCCCTCTTCTGCTGCTGCTTCTGCTGCTGCTTCTGCTGCTCGCTGCTGCTGCGTCAGGGGAACTGATCCGGCTGCAGCACTGCCACGCTGCTGCTGCACTGCTACTACGCCCACTTCCGTTATGGTCAGCACGTGCTGCACTGCAGCAACCTCCGGCAGCAGCAGCTGCCACCTGCAGCAGCAATACACACACAGATGCAAGTTTGTTTCTACTCTCGTTCGTCGCTGCTCATGCTGCTGCTGCTGCTGCTGCTCTTGTTGCTTCAAGTTCTTTTCGAAAGAAACACACCGCTTGACTGTTGCAGCAACCCGCGCAGCAGGTTTTGGTACCGCAGCAGCAGTATCCAAACTGTTGCTGCTGCTGCTGCTGCTGGAGTTGCTGCTGCAAAGTGTTTGGCCTGGCATAGAAATGAAGTCGCTTTCATCGGTGCAGATGATGCAGCAACGAATTGTCTGCTGCGCTGCTGCAGCAAGGTCTGCTGCCGCAGCAAGCGGGGCCTCTGCAGCGGCTGTAGAAGCGTTGCTTGTTGCTGTTGTTGTTGCTGTTGCTGTTGCTGCAGCTGCTGCCAGCGCATGTTCGTAATGGGCCAGCATTGCCTCAGCTGTTTCAATGTCCATGACCAACGTGTACTTTCCCTGCTGCTGCTGCTGCTTCTGCTGCTGCAAGAGCATGTGCCACACCGCAGCAGCTCGCGCCGGCGCTGTCTTAACAGAAAGCGCCTCTGCTGCAGCATCGGCAGGCTGCTGTTGCAGGGACACCTGCAGCGGCAAAGGGAGAGGAGGTATTTGCTGCCTGGTCAGCAGCAGAATCTTGGCTTGCTGCTGCAGCAGCGGCAGAACAGCTGCCAACAGCAGCTTCGGCTTCACAACAGCAGCAGCAGCAGCAGCTACAACAACGTCGTCCCCTGGCGAGACGTGCTGAAGCAGCTGATCCCTGCTGCGCTCCAGCTGCTGCTGCACTGCTGCTGCTGGCAGTAGCACACTACGCGGCTGGCCCCAGCAGCGGCTCGCCTCCAGCAACAAACCCCAACTGTCGCTAGTCAGCAGGGTGCTGCTGCTGCTCTTGCTGTCGCTGCTGCTGCTGTCGCTGCTGGCGGTGCTGATGTCATTCCCTGCGCTGCCTCTCTTGCTGCTCTTAACAGCAGCAAGCGCCTCCTTCAGCTCTCGAGGGGGCCCCAGGGGGCCCCCCTCCGCTGTCCGTAGAGGTATCCATTTCGTGCGTATTGGCAGACTGCGTGTGTATAGGGGCTCTTCCCTGACGAACAGTCGCGCGCTTGCTGCTGCTGCTGCTTCTGCCTGCTGCTGCTGCTGCTGCTGCAGAGCTATGCATATGTCAGTTGCTGCTGGAGTTCTGGCCCCACAGATGCAAACCTGCACCCCCAACTGATCACCGAGTGCAGCAGCAGCAGCAGCAAGCGCCGGATGTACCAGCAGCAGCTGCGTCTTTGCCTCAGCTAGCTGCTGCTGCAGCATCCGCAAGGACTTGCTGCTGTAGATTACGCTGCTGCTGCAAGCATTCGTTCTTGTAACAAATACTTCTCCTCCTGCTTCCTCCACTGCTGCTGCCAGGGGCCTCGCTGCTGCCGCACTTGCTGCTGCTACGCCTCCTGCAGCAGCAGCAGCTGCTGCTGCAGTCTCTGCAGCAACAGCAGCATCACAAAACGGCAGCGGCACCGCCACGCCCCCTACTGCAGCAACAGCAGCCACTGCAACAACCGACAGAGGGGACGGAGGCAACAGCACACCAACGCGAAGGCCTACACGATGCTGCTGCTGCTGCTGCTGCTGCTCCTGCCCCTGCTCCTGCTGCACCTGCTGCTGCTGATCCTGCTGTAAGCGGATGCCGTAGTACTCGCACGCCTCGAGGATTTGGCTAGCAAGGGTCCTGCAACAACAGCAGCAGCACCAGCAGCAGCAACAGCAGCAGCAACAGCAGCAGCACCAACATCCCTACAGCGCGGCCACCTTCTGATCGCCTTTCAGAACTGGATCTGCTTCAGCAGTAGCAGCAACTAAAGCAGCAATTAAAGCAGGAAGTGCTGCAACAACTACAGCAGGAAGCTGCCGCTCACTGCTGCATGCGTTGCAGAGACACCGCGTCGGCTGCGACCCCATCGGATTGAATGCCTGCAAGACGTCCGCGAGACAGCTGCAGCAGCAGCAGCAACAGCGTCGACGAAAATGGTAACACGTCATTCTGAAGCAGCTACTGCAGCAACAGCAACAGCAGCAGCAACCCAACGCATGCATCATCCCGTACCTGAGCAAAGAGAGTGCTTATATTCCTTCTTCCCTCTCTGACAGCTTGGCTGCTGCGGCTGCTGCAGCCTCTGCTGCAGCTGAAGCTAACGCAGCAGCAGCAACTGCACCAGCAGGATGAGCGAGTCTTCCATCCACAGGCCGATCTGCTTCTGTACTGTGTTGCATCATGAGGCCAAGAGGCAGGCACTGTTGCTGTTGCTGCTGCTAATACCGGTGCTGCTGCTGCTGCTGTTGCATTCGTTGGTGTTGCTGCCTTAATTGCTGTTCCTGCTGCGGCTGCCTCCCTTACCGGTGCAGCTTGCTGCTGCAGCAAATGACAACGACGCCCGAGGGCTGCGCCAGCAGCGATCTTGCGCAGCATAAGCACTGCTGCAGCGGTTGCTGCTCTTTGCAGTGCTGCGCTCCCCCCTGTGCTCGTTGCTGCCGTTGCTGCTGCTGCCGTTGCTGCTGCCCTCGCTGCAGCGGCTGCTGCAGCGGCTGCTGCAGAGATTCGCGCAGCCGTTAATGCAGCTGTTACTGCAACGGTTGCTGCTGCAGTTGCTGCTGCAGTTGCTCCTGCTCCCGGCAGCGTTTTGTTGGTTAGGCTGCTGGCCTAACCATTGGTGTCTGGGGATGCTCGGCTAATCTGAGTGGAAGAAGGTCAACCGTGGGATCGACTCGCTCCTTAAAGAGAACAGTAGCAACGACAGCAGCAGCAGCAGCAGCTGCTGCTGCTGCTGCTACTGCAGAGGATATGATGAAATAGAGAAGTTCAGATGGTCCACACACGTACACAACAAAAAAAGAAGGAGCAGTGAGCACCAAGTTTTGGCTAAGGGATGCGAGCATCGACGAGTTGCTGCTGTTGCTGCTGCTGCTGCAGCTGTTGCTGCTGCTGCTGCTGCATTGCATGCATCAGCAACACAGAAGACCAAGTGTCTGCTGCTGCCCTGACAAACTGGCCGCCGTCTCAGCAGCTGAAACTTTATATTTGATATCTCATTTTGTGTCTTGTTGGTTCCAGGTACAGCTGCAGCTACGGCAGCAGCAACAGCAGCAGCAGCAGCGCGAGTTGCTGCAGGTTCAGACAGCACCAGCTCAGCTGTCAGCCCTAGTCAGACGCTTCAGGTGTACATACACCGAAACAATATTCCATAGGCGACTCGGAAGAAACACAATCTGCGCCCCTAGCTACCAGAACGCAGCTGCTGCTGCAGCAACAGCAGCAGACGCAAGGGGGCTGCTGCCGTTGCAGCAGCAGCAGTAATAGCCAAAGGCAGCAACTGCATGCGGTGACTCCACTTTCTACAAGGCTCTGCAAGCGATGCTAACAGCTTCAAAACACAAGGAGCCGCAGCAACAGCAGCAGCAGCAGCACTAGCGGCCAGGTGAGCAGCAGCAGCAGCAAAAGACGGGAGATGCGCAGTTCAAGGCCTTCATCCATACGACAGCTGCGCTCTGCACATCACGCCGAAGGAGCTCCTTTTACATGGTAGGCAGCAGCAGCAGCAACAGCAACAGCAGCAGCAGCAGCAGCACATAGGGGAGCAACGGCAACATTACGAGAAACAGCAGCAGCAGCAGCAGCAGAGCAAGAAAAAAAATGAGGGGCTCAGATTCACCTTCCCCAAGGCCTCGCCATCCTCGTTATACATCGGCAGCTTCAGTTGCAGCAACACCTGCAGCAACGACAGCAGCAGCAGCAGCAGCAGCAGCACTTGCTGCTGAGAGCAGCAGCGCGATTGAAGTTGCTTCCCTCAGACGCATTGGGGATTTCCTGCGGGTTGTTGAGGAGCAGCACCGCTTGCAACAGCAGCAGCAGCAGCAGCAGCAGCCTCATGGGACTTTCCTTACTTCCGTGGCTGCGGGCGGCGCTGGCCCGTACGGGAGCGGCAAAAGCTTGCAACAGCAGCAGCAGCAACTGCAGCAGCAGCAGCAGCCTCTTCTTCCTGTTCTGCGCGGCCTTTTGTCTGACTTGAAGGTGCTGTGCGATCGTGCGGAGTTTCACGATAGCAGCAGCAACAGCAGCAACAGCAGCAGCTGCACCGGTACCAGGAGCAGCAATGCCCCAAGGAGCAGCGAAGGCAACGCAGCAGCAGCAACAACGGCAGCTGCAGCAGCAGGCACTTCTGTGCGGTCTGCAATTGAAGACTTGCTGCAGTCCAGGGGGCCCCTGGGTGCAGCTGAACACAAGGGGCTGCTGCGCTCTCTCCTCAGCAGCCAGGGCCCCCCTAAGTATGCCAGCCAGCATATGATGCAGGGTGGCTTTGGCGCTGCTGCTGCTGCTGCTACTGCTACTGGAGCCCCAGCAGCTGACCCCTGCTGCAGCACCAAATTCGATACCTGCGCGAGTCCGCTCCCCTCAACTTCATCCTCGGGTATTGCTGCCTCGCCTGTTGCTGCTGCTGCTGCTGCTGCTGGCACTTCAGCCCGGCCGTCTGGTTTGAGCTCAACAGCAGCAGCAGCTGCAGCAGCAGCAGCAGCAGGGGGAGCAGGACAAGCAGGCGCCGCCGCCGCAGCAGCAGGAGCTGAGGCGGCGTTGCGCGTGCTACGCGAAGAAGCAGCAGCAGCAGCAAAGAATGCGGTTGCTTCTCCTCGGCTGCTGTCGTGTGAGGGGGGGGCCCTACGTGCTGCTGATGCTGTGCGTCTGTGCGGGCAAGCAGAGGCCCCCAGCTCAGCCCGATTTGTTCCAAAGTATAGAGGGGGTCCCCGCAGTTGCACACCATCGGGTGCAGCAGCAGCAGCAGCAGCTGCAGCAGCAGCTGCTGCTGCTGCAGCGGCTGATTCTGCAGCAGGTGCAGCAGCAGCAGCAGACAGCAGCAAGCTTTACCAGGCTTGGCTAGACGGGGCGTATATACCTCAGTTCGATGATAATGATGAATATTCAGAGGAGACAGACCCAGGATACACCCCAGTAGATATGACAGAAGCAGAGTTTCTTGCTGCCTTCTGTGGGGCCCCACACCCCCCCGTTGGGGGCCCCCAAGGCAGCGGGGCCTCCTGGAGGCCTCAACAGACAGAAGGAATGCATCCGCTGCTTGCGTTGGGTGTAGACCCTGCTGTTGATGTTGTAGGGGCCAGGCTGGAAATGGCTGCAGCAGCAGCAGCAGCAGCTGCTGCTGCTGCTGCTAAGGATGGCAGCCAGGAGCAGCAGCAGCAGCACCACTTAAAACAACAGCAGCACGGAGATGTGCAGCAACAGCAGGCAGCGATAGGATATGCTGCTGATCTCTGTCCTACCAGTGCTGGTGCTGCTTTCAGCAGCGGCACTATCTTCAGAGTTGGAGAAGACAGCAGCAGCAGCAGCAGCAGCAGCAACGGGGGGAGAGGCAGCAGAGCAACAACTCGCCCTTCTTCTCCAGCCTTCGGCGGCTCCCCTTCAATTGAAGGGGCCCCTCTAGAATCAACACGAGAGGCGGAGTTGTGGCAGCAGCAAAAACAGCAGCAGCAGCAGCAGCAACAACAGCAACAGCAGCAGCAGCAAGGAAGCCCCGCTCACTTCGGCCGCTCTCTGTCGTTTGGGGGCTGTGCAGACGCCCAGCCGAGCGGCAGCAACCTTAACCCCCCAGACCTTGCAGAACTAGCAGCAACAGAAGCAGCAACAACAGCAACAGCAGGAGCCGCAGCAACAGCGGGAGCAGCAGCAGAAGCCACAGCAGCAGCAGCAACCACGGAGGAGTGCCCCGCAGTGTCTTCTGAGGATGAGTTGGCGGGCTGCGGCGTTCAGGAACAGGCGGTTTCTGCTGCTGCGGCAGCAGAGATATTGAAGCAGGAGCTGGAACAGCAGCAGCAACAGCAGCAGCGGCTGGAGCAGCAGCAGCAGGAGGCGTACCTAGCGGCACGGACTTGGGAGGAGAAGTACTGCGACGGGGATAAGCAGCGCTTCAGACAGCAGCAGCAGCAACGTGCTGCAGCAGCACTCGCCCATGCTGCTTACCCCGCCTCCGCAGACCCCGCGTACCCGCGGCCTTGCCGTTTGAGGGGCCCTGCAGCAGCAGCAGCAGCAGCAGGGGGCCCCCCTGTTCAAGAGGCGACGGTGTATGATTGCTTCAATCTGAAAGTTGTCTTTAAAAGAAACACAACAGGATCTGATGGGCATAAAGAAATGGTTTTACCTGCAGGAACCCTTCTAGGAGGCAGATACAGAGTGCAGCAGGAGGTATGTATACGCGCCGCTGCTGCTACTGCTGCTGCTGCTGCTGCGGCTGCGGCTGCTCCTTGCGCTGCAGCAGCAGCAGCAGCAGCAGGTTGTGGCGTAGACATTTTTCTGTAGAGGCATCTGCTAGGGAGGGATCCTTTTAGGGTGGGGTTTCAACTTGGGGGTTTAGGGAGTGGGGGTTGCAGCTCGGCCTTAGGATTTAGGGTTTAGGATTTAGGGTTTAGGGTTTAGGGTTTAGGCTGGCTGTGTGTTGCAGATTGGGGCGGCGGCTTTCTCGCGGTGTCTCCAGGGCATCGACGAGTGCACAGGACAAAGGGTTTGCCTCAAGGTGAGCTGTTGCTGTTGCTGCTGCTGTTGCTGCTGCAGTTACTGCTGCAGTTGCTGCTGCTGTTGCTCTTATTGCTGTTGATGCAGCAGCAGCAGCAGCGGCCTTAATGAGTTGCGTCGTTATCTTGGTCGGTGAAGTTGTGGAGTGCAGCCGCAGCAGCAACAGGTTCCCTTAAATTCTCCTTTTGCCGCTGCTGTTACTACTGCTGCTGCTGTTGCTGCTGCTGCTGCTGCTGCTGCTGCTGCAGGTGATGAAGAACGAGAAGGAGTTTCTGGATCAGTCTCTTGATGAGGTGGCCGTGCTGCGTTTGCTGCTGTCTAATGGAGACCCTGACTGGCATCGTTTTTTGCGTTTGTTTGATTGTTTGTATGTGGATGGGCACTTGGTGTTAGTAACAGAGCTCCTTGATGAAGATTTATATACCTTTAGCACCACATTAAAGAGACAAAGACAGCCCTCCTTCTGGAGCTTAGGGAGGCTGCAGCGAGCAGCAAAAGATATACTCCTTGCGCTTCACTTCGTTCATAGTTTGCATATTATCCATGGAGACCTCAAGCCTGAGAACATACTTGCTTGCTTTACTGCCCCCCTAGCAGCAAAACTGCAGCAGCAGCAGCAGCAACAACGGACCACCTACAAACGAGATGCTGCACGCAGACAAACCAACGGAAGCTGCAGCACCTACAACTCCACCCCCTCCTCCCCCAGCAGCCCCACAAGCACCAGCACCAGCAGCAGCAGCAGCAGCAACAGCAGCAGCAGCAGCAGCAGCGGTGGGGATTCTTTGTTTGAGTGGGATTGTTTGGATTTGTTTCGTGTGAAGGTAATCGACTTTGGGAATTGCTGCTTCACGAGCGACGAGCTTGTGGTGTATACGCAGTCTCGGTCTTATCGTGCGCCTGAGGTGTTATTAGAGCTGCCTTACTGCCAACAAATAGATATATGGAGCTTAGGTTGTATTATCTACGAACTCTGGACAGGGGAGATGCTGCTAGGGTGTTATTCAGTGCCTTCTCTGCTAGCAAAGATGGTGGGGTTGCTGGGGCCTATTCCGGGGTATATGGCTCGCTGTAGCCCTCTTAAGCATCAGCTTCTAGACCCTGAGGGCTTCCTATACAGGTTTATGGATAGTATATCCACTGCACAGGAACATAGACAGCAGCACCTCTCGCTGCAGCAGCAGCCGTCGGTGAGTTGTGATCTCAGACCTCCTGATGATACCCTCCTCAGCTTGGTGCAGGATCACCTTAAAAGCAGGCAAACCCGCAACTCCAGACACACCAGCAACAGCAGCAGCAGCAGCAGCGGGAGCAGCAGCGGCAACAGCAGCGGTACGGGGAGCAGCAGCAACAGCCGGATTATTCGTTTCTTTGTACCTAAACGCACAAACCTACGCCAACGCCTTCGTTGCACTGATGATGTCTTTGTAGATTTCGTCTCTAAAATGCTGCAGATAGACCCCTGCAAACGTTGGACAGCTAAACAGCTGCTAGCCCATCCTTTCCTTACTCCGGGCCGCTACATAGACGGCATTCAAAGCCCTTAAACGCATGCATGCATGCATGCATTCTAATTCCCCTCAAGGGCCCCCACTACGCGGTGTCCGAAAGGGGTGCCTAGGCGGCATTCAAACCACCGAAATGCATGCATACAAACGCCTTCTGAAGGGGCCCCATCACAAGGGCCCCAAAGGGGGCCCCTGTGTACATTGGCTCGCCGCACGCAAACCCTACAGCACATTGCATGCAGACCCCAAGCAGCACAAATTATGACGCAAATGCTACACTATAGATGCCGTAGCAGGCAAACAAGGGCCCCCACAGCACTTTTAAAAGCATTCCTATGGGGCCTACTGTGGGTAGAGTTGCATGATGCCTCCCCAAATAAATTAGACCCCACCGTAGAAGAACCTGTAGGGGCACTCTGTAGAGGCCCCTACAGATTCAACAGGGGCCCTCTGTGTATAGACGCCTTTGAAGGTATAGTCAGGGGGCCCCTGATAGGAACCGAAACCGAATTTAGTTGTGAAGGGTTCAGTAGAATAACCTGTTTTGAAGTTGTGGGGGGCCCCTCTATTAGGGGCCCCTATTGAAACTTTGGGGCCCCCAAGTGGCACTTAGTGAGCATTGGGGGGCCCCACAGTAGGGGGAAGGTTGTTTGCTTCTGTTGCTCCGACGGAAGCAGCTACGCTGCAGCAGCAGCAGCAGAAGCGAAAGCAGCAAAAGAAGCAGCACCTTCTTACGTCATGTGCTGGCCGCTTGTCTTGTTTGCACCCCTGCAGCAGAGCACTGCTTAGTGGCTTCATGGTTGCTGCAGCACTCTCTCTCAGCAACAAAAGACAGCAGCAGCAAATGCACCACGCAAAGTGCCGGCGTTTGCATAAAACGCCAGAAGCTCTGCTGCACATACACCAGGTGCTGCGCATCCTAGCAGCAGCAGCAGCATCTGCAGCAGCAGCAGCGGCACCTGCAGCAGCAGCAGCAGCAGGCGAACTCTG